ATATGCATGCTTATACTTTTCAGATGTCCAATATTGTTCTCTGTACAATCTTTGTTTTATTGATTGCATGTAATATTCTAATTTTCTGAGATTGTGGATTTGGGGTTTTCATGAGCTGTAAGCCATAATCATCTCAATTATGACAATCATGGCTTGAACTATCTTGCTTTGCATGTAATGAGTCTATCTCATATATTAGTTTCATCTTTTAAGTTGCATTACTGAAATAAATGAACTTTTGCACGATATTCTAATTTTTTGAGTTTCACTTGTAGATACATGCTTCAAATCGCACCTCTTTTTTATGAGCAAGATGTTAAAGCTCCAACTAACAAACCCAAGCAAATCAGAACTCTGAGACTTGGCTCCTTCTCAAAGGTCTTCTTTATTGAGTACATCATTTTGGTACAGCTTCAATGGACAACTAAATCTAAATGTTTCCCATGGTTTCAGTATAATTAAGCTAGGAAATAACCCCCTTCCCAAGTGCCATGGGTCACATCTGGGTTAATTGGCTGCCTCTTCAGGCACTCCTTCCCCAACTTATCTGTTGCCACTAGAGATGACCTTGGTTTTCAGGAGAAAGTTCTTTGTTGTGTCTAATAATGCATTCCTACCTCCTTCCCCACTTTCCCCTCGAGGTGGCAACTGAGGAGCAGAAAGAAGGCTTGGCCAAATTCAGTTCGAAGTTGACACAAGAGGGATATGGACCAGAAGGGGTTTTCTCAGTTATGGCACATACTCTGTGGAATACATTTTGTAGTCCTTATTAGCACAATCCATTTAGCTAGCATAATTAGTGTGTAGTCCCCAAGTTGTAGAAGAACTTTAGGAGTTTCAGAAAAGTTGGGGAAGAACTTCAGCAGATTTCAGAAAGATAAACATTTTGAAAAGCACATCATATAAATTGCATAGAGAAGAATATAGTTCTTAGAATGTTAGACATTCAACATATTAATGAGAGTATAATATTTTACCTATAAAACTGTGTAAAACATTTATGAACAAATTGACTATGTATATTTTTTATTTACCAGTAAACATATATAGAACTTCCCTAAAAGCTTGTGTGCCACACTATAAATTGGCTCGTTGGTCTTTGTTTGGTATGTTTCTCACCCCGTAGCAGTTGATCGGTATAGTAGAGCAGGACTCCCCAATCCCCCAGATGCAGTCCACTACCAAGCCTTGAGCTGTTCAGAACCAGGCTGCAGAAGTAACAGGCGAATGCACACCTGCACACATCCCTTGTGCGTGCAGTGGGCAAGGGCATGTGCCTGCTCCATTTGCAGGCATGCATGTCCACTGGTCACATGGAACTCTCCCCTCCCCCTCCCCATGCTCGGCTGGTGCACAAACTCGGAATGGTTGGAGAACTTTGTAGTAAAGCACTGATGTATAAAATGTGTATTATATTTGCTTACTTGCATGATGAAAATGAGCCACGCATTTTGAAATATAAACACATACTATGTCTAATATATTATGTAGCTCTTCTGTCAAAAATAGTTCAGGATAAAACAAATTATCTCTTCTTTCTGCCTGCTAAAGCATAAGAACGTTCTGCTAGAGATCAAGGACGTTTATCCTTAAACAATTCCTTTCAGTATCTGTATGATTTGTTTTGTCTGCATGGCCTTTAGTCTAATAGATATATGCGAAATAAAAAGTAGAGCCCAAACTTCTATCACTATAAATACATAAAGGTTTTAAAAAGTAAAAAAAACATATTTTAACCGAGCTCTCTTCAATAATTTCTATACCTGACATTACCAGTAAACATGTATAGTTTCAATCTCTTCAATAATTTCTATACCTGACATTGGTTCTAGTTAGCTATGATGGTTTTCAAGACAAACTGCTCACACAGTCCTGGTGTAATATAACGTGTTATCATGACTCAGGTGCAAGATTTGAATCAGGAGACTTGGGTGGAAGATGAAGGGAACTCTATATAGACTTACAGCCATTCATTTAGTGACCATTTGAAGATATAACATCACTGGAAAAAAGTGACTTACGACTGTTTTTCATACAACTCTTGCAGTATCCCCCATGGTCACATGATCAAAATTTGGATGCTTGGCAATTGGTATGTATTTATGATGGTTATAGTATCTCAGGATTATCTTTTGTGACCTCTGACAAGCAAAGTCAGTGGGGAAACCAGATTCACTTAGCCATATTGCTAACTTAACAACTGCAGTGATTCCCTTGACAACTGTGGAAGACTAGGTTATAAAATGGGGCAAAACTCACGTAACAACTGTTCTGTGTTTAGCAACAGAAATTTTGGGCTCAACTGCAGTTGTAAATAGAGAACTACCTATATAATCCACTGAGACTTCTAACGAAAGGGGAAGGTGTATGCAATTAATAGTAACTGCAAATCTTCACCTTCGCCATGCTATTTGCTCCATTCACATTCACCATGCTTTTAGCCTATTTAGCACATTGGTTAATTTAAAAGGAAATAAAGAGGAGGCTGCCATACTGATAAGCTCTGGTCTCCAATATTTTACTGCCAAGAATCTCTATGGAAACCATGGAGGGTCCTTACGTTTTATTACAGATGCTGACTGCGGTGCCTTCAAAGTATACTTATAAGCCAAAAAAGAAAAAAAAAGAAAAAGAATAAAGGTACAGTAATTGGGAGCATGCAGCGACGGCCAAAACTTTGAGGACTGGTCATAAGTACCGCTTGTGTAGTGCTATTGTAATTTTGGTCACTGAAGAAGTAGTCATAACCTAAGGACTATCTGTAAACCGGGAAAGTATGGCACATTCTGAAGCAAGGTAGCTTTATAAGAGGGTAGGTAACATTTGTTACATTCCAACTTAACCCATATTTTCTAGGGGCCCAGTTTTGTGAAAAGGAAAGCATCTCTCCCAGATGCTGCTGAGAGAGTGATACATGTTCCTAATTTGAATGCTTTGCTTGATGCAGTATGATACATTTCCTCTGTCCCTCTCTCTCTCTCTCTCTCTCTATTATTCAGATATACACAGTGTGAGAAACTTGGCTTAATCTAAAATTTACCATACAATAAAAATCAGTGACCCCCTACTTCTTTCACATCCAACAAAGTTTAAGAAAAAAGCTATTTCACTTTCAAGCATTCAACATAGTAGTTTCAGAAGGAATAGCTTCTTCTATAGTAGGAAACACAAGGCAGATGAACGAAAGCTGCAGTCCTATATACATTTTGTTTAGAAATAACCTTGAACTCAATGGGGCTTGCTTGTTACACAAGGTTAGGCAGTAAGCCATAATGAAAAATTTTGAAACAAGACCTCTGAAACCATGTCACCAATGGCAACCAGCCATCCCTTGATATGTCTCCTATGAATTTTCAGCTAACTGAAAAATAGTCAGAGAGATTGTTTTTTTCTTGCTTTGTGTAGGGAAAGTAAAAATATTTGACATCTCTTACATTGGTCAAAATAGATTTCCTACTTTCTGGAAATTGTAACATTAAAAAGAAGTGGTAACACAGTGGTAACACAGTTTACAATCTCCTGATTTTTCTGTTTCTGTATCCATACAGTTTATATATTTAACATATATATTTAGCATGTCAAATATGCAATGAAATTGAAATATAGTATTTAATTTGTTTTTTAATCTGGCTACAGTCTGAAATTGCAAAAACTTGGAAGTAACAAAATCATTTCCAAAAAATTGTTACAATGGAAAAGACAACAAGTAATTGCACTATTTTCTAGCAAAACCCTCATAATGTTTTCTCTTCCTATTTTTATACCTTAGAAGTGAACCATATTGTAATATAATGGCATATACTATTATTGGAAAGCCAGTATTAAATCTATTTAATCTATATAAACAAACAAACAAATACATATATTTAAATACATTGATGGTTAACCATATCAAGGGGAATTTGCTTCTTCCTTTACTCCTAAAGTATCTTGTTTATGCTATTGGTTTTGTTATGTTTACATATTTTAATGCAGTCAATGTAGGGGTAATACTGTACTTATTGGAATAGTCAATCTTCATTTCTACATTTTAACAAGGAACATATATTTTCTCTTTATTAGTACTTAAGCCAGCAACCAAGAATGAATTACATAGATTCCTTATTTGTACTAAAGCAGTTGCTCCAAGACATTGTTGATCATAAGTTCTTGTGATGTTTTATATTTATTTGCAAATGCTGTACTGATATCACAAAATGCAAAATTCCCACAGGTGAATTACACAAATCTTATTTATCTCTGAAGACTTGTGTGGCAAGTTAATAATACAATGCATTAGGACTGCATTTAACAATATCAGTTTGAACATGTTAGATTATTGTAATGGTCATTCTTATAAACTCTTTGTAGCTATTAACTCATGTTAAAGAAGAAAATAGATCATAACAATATTCTCCTACATTCTTTGAACTCCCACTGTAGTTCAGGCTGTAGTTCAGGATGGAATCTTATGTGATATTTTTTTTAATGTGCAAAGCTATGATGCAGAATAAGAGCTAAAACAGAAATTGACATATTTCCATCAGAACTTCTTGAGCATAATTGATATAGTAATACTTCCTTACAATTTTATATAGTCTTTTGCCCCCTTTTCCCCCAAAACATTGATAGGAGCCATGTGAAGCAATGGTTAGAATGCAATATTGCAGACTAACTCTGTCCACAACCAGTTCAATCCTGATTGAGTTATTGTTGACTCAGCCTTCCATCTTTCTGAGGTCGGTAAAATGAGGACCCAGATTGGAGCAATATGATGACATTGTAAACTGCTCCGAGAGTGCTGTAAAGCACTAAGGAGTGGTATATAAGTCTAAGCGTTATTGCTGTATGTCTGAAGAAAACACTAAGCTATGGATCTGCAAGGAAACTATTTCCTTCTAAAAAAATTTTTTTTAATGTCATTATACTGCTTCTTTTAGCTTAAACATCTAAGAACTTTTCAAATGTATTTATATTGGTCTCTCTTTTTCCCCTCTCTTTTCAAAAAAGATATGACTTACCTTTTCCATTCTGCCATGCTGTATACCATGATAAACTGAGGAAAGATGTGATGAAAATCAATGCAGTGGCCACAGTTCCATTTCGGAGCCTCATCTCATTTCAACATCACACTGTTTAGATTTGACCAAGGTTCCACATTCAAATTTTGTGGCTTAAGGACCAGATATTCCAGTGAAGGTTAGACAGTTGCCCAGGCATTCCTAATCATTGTAAAGCTGGCAAACACATTGTATTACTTAAAGTCTTGTTGCTGTAGAATGTAGTTCTTTAATCTGTTATGTTCTGTGAACAAACAATAGTAATTTCAGAATGAGACCATACATGAGGTATCAATAGTAAATCAAATGCAGTATATTATCTTTAAGAGACAAAACTCTGAATAATCACCTATTCAGATTCTTAGTCCTGCCAAAAATCTACTTAGTTGCTCCTATCATTGGCAAACTTGGGTCAGGCCCAAAGTAAGTGCCGGTAATATCCATTAAACCTATACTCCTCCTCTTCTCCTCACACAATGCCTCAGAAGTTGCCTCAAGTGGTCTTGGAGACTGGAGGGCATGGAGTCTCAGTCTCTTTTACCACAGTAGTAATCACACTGGGTTTATGTTCTGAGGCAGCATCTGATTGGGCCAGCTTGCTATTAGCATAACAAAAGAGGGTTTTTTGTTAACTGCATGATGCACAGCTGCAGTTTAACAAGCAAGTCTCCATGATCACTTAAGGCAACATCGGATTGGACCAGCTTACTGACAAGATTTTTTTTAAAGGCTGATTTGGATTTTTTGAAATATGCAATGAATAACCAGAGCATCAACAGAACAGCTGCAGAAACTTTTTTTTTTTTTGGGGGGGGGGGAATCTTCCCAGAACTTATGCCCCATGATCTAATGTTAGCATCACTCAAACATAATATTTTCTCTTATCCTCAAAACTGCCTTTTCCCCCTTTTCCTAAGGGTCTGAATTATTTCTAAATGGTAAGTTTTAGATTTTAATATGGCAAAGTAAATAAAACACTTTTAACACTTGCATTTTGCTCAGAAAGGGATAGTATCTAAATCTGTCAATTTATTTCTTTTGTAAACATCCACACTTTCGCAGTCTAACGCATGTTTTAAATGTTCATTTAAGTATGACTGTGATGCTTTAGCATTTTGCTAGATATTTGGAACAAAGCTTGTTATGTAAACATGATGCTGAGACCTCCTAATAAGTTACTAATTTCAATTTTAAATAGGGTTATGGGGAAACAGTAATGAAAAACAAACATTTAGAAAAATAAAATGAACATGAGAGTCCAGTACAGGTAAAGTAACTAACATCTTTTCTGCCAAAGTGCATTAAAGTGGTAATGGAGTGCTTTAGTAAACACAAATGTGCATGCCTTCTTTATGACACAATTCCCAGCCTATTGCTTAAAGCTCCCATGTTACTATTCTGCTTTTGGGAGAAGGAACATTCCCTACACCCTATCCCAAGTAAATGATTCATTTGACGAAGCCTGGAAAACGCAGGTGGCTTCTGTTCCTTCCCAGAGGAGAGTGACAATCCTTCTATAGGTGAGAACTTTCCTTTAACTTTTTCACTAGCTTTGCAAGCTCTGGGTTTCATTTCTATCCTTTATGAAGTCAGATTGCCATATCCTGATACGGAAGAAGAGTCTTCCTTCAGCTAGTTAAATTTCTCCTACCCACTCATTTCTTTTAGACCAGTTGAAAAGATTGAGAAGGGCCATGAATGATCATTTCCCATCATCCAGCCAGGCTGCTCTGCTTACAGATGGTTTATAATTGTGCTTATACCAGGCACACAGCAGGTTGAGAAGGAAAGGACAGAAACCCCTAGCTTTCATTTTATTTCCCTGGATGAGAAACCGGTTGTGCGAGTAGAAACTGCCCTTGCCATCTTTTCTTACGTCTTTTTAAAGTCTTCCAGATAGCAAGGGTACAAAGGAAGGACAGAGAATTCCACAGGTAGGCTGGCTTTGGAAAAATCACAGTGGTGTCTGCCCATTGGTACATATGTACGTAAGGACGGATGGACAAACGGGCACACACACACATGAAAGGAAGTTAGTCATGTTAGAGATATCCATAATATATTTCCTTTTTGTGCTAATATAGAAAAGGGCTAGGAAATGTTTGGAAATATTCCTAAAGGAAAGAAGGATTTCAGAAAACAAAATTAGACTGACTCAATGCAAAAATAATTAAAGTAACTCCTACTGAAGTTAATAGAATATTTAATTCACATTGCATTTTGCTTCCATTTCATTCAGCTAATTAATCAGCATCCAATATCAAAATCATCTAGTTCAGTTCCTTGCCTAGTGTCGCCTACACAAAATAAAAATTAAACGTAAGGACCCAGCCAAATGCAAAAAAGATTACAAAAGATCTAAGAATAACTTAGACCCCAATTTTAGAAACTTGAAGAAAAAGGGATACAAAACTCCAGATATATTGATATATTCCATGCATGTATGTAATGAGCAGTTAGCTTATTCAAATACCTGTTTTCCATTATGAATCTCCTCGCCAATTCTATGCCAACTTCAATTCATCCATACTGGCATTACTTTGTTTAAAGGTGTTTATTATTGTAATTATCAAAAGATGTGGCCTAGCACTCTAGCTGATTCTGCTGTGTGACTATACAGAGATATAGTAAAATATATCCAAACATGCCAAACAAAAAAAAGAATTTGTCAGCAGTGAGAAAAAAGGAATGCCATATGGTTCCAAGGGGCACATATTAATAACATCACTGTTTATAACACTACAGTAAAAATAACATCACCAGTTTCGAAAACATGCTATTTCTCACAAACTAGGGATGATTCTTTGCTGCCTTTGCTTATCCACCACGAAGGTGAATCGGTGAATATTATCTCATTAATGAAAAGTATAACCCTAATAAGGCTTAGCACAATTAAGTTCTACTAGGAGCTTTTCCCTACTGGGAGCTTCCCCAGAAAACAATTGATTTTATGATAGTTTTCCCAGATCTGTATTTTTGTTGTCTTATAAAACTATTCCTGCATTAATGCAGAAGGTCTAGAAATCATTTAAATGGAAAAAATGGAATTGGCAGGGTTAGGGTTTGCAAAATAAAGAATGAGCTATTTTTCCCCCAACTAGGTTTTACTCTCACTGTTCAATTAGGGGATTTATAGTAATTATGTTTTTGTTTTGTTTTTAAACTTCTCTAGCTATTTTATTTGTCCCTTAAATATAATTAAATGGGTCCACACAGCAGACATGCAGGGAATTAAGCAAACACTATTTTTAATAGATCTGTTTTAAAATGCTGACTGTAATATTTACAGAGCAAGAATTTGTTTTTCCATACGTATCTAGCCACATAGAGAGAGATGCATAATATTTTAATTGAATGGTGTTAATAGTGTTGAAAAAAATCCAAAGGAGTCTGGTAGCACCTTTTCTGATTACCAAATTTTTTATTGAAAAGCATATGCTTTCAAGAACTGCAACTCCATCTGTTCAATAATGTATGCCTTTCAACAAAACTTGTTATCCAAAAAAGGTGCTACTCAAATTCTGATTTTTTACCACTACAGCTGTCCTCTTACAAGGTCAATAGTGCTGAAGTTTGTCTTTCATGTATTCAAGCTTTTCTCCCTTTTCCTACAAACCCCCCCACTCCCCAAAATAACATATTTTCTTTTGAAATCTGGCATCAGAATTTCATTTTTTAAATGTGTGCCAATGTGTTCACAGAAAAAAAATGACAATAAAGAATATCTTATCTTATTATAAAGACTAAAACTATGTTACTTTTATAAATACATATAGTGCACAAGTGTTTATATGTAAACAAGTTCCAATTATTCAGGATAATTTAGTAGTACCACTGTATTCAATAGGGCCCAAATAAAATTTAGAACTGCAGTCTAAAGTAGCTTTTGAGTGGAATGGAAAGTGTAGCACAAGAATAATGTAACAGAGGTTTGAGTTTAATATTGTTACTGCAAGACAAATTCTTTCTGACTGAGCTTTCAGTGGCTATAGCTCTACTACAGCTACCATGAAGGAACGTGTTGGTTTAGTTCTCAAATGCAAACAGCTCTTATTCTGGGGGTTTTCCCTATTTACATATCAATATATAGCTAGTGGTTTTTTAAAACTGTTTTTAAAGTGTCTTTTAAAAAACCCGACAGCACTCATATATACAACCTTATCTTTATTCATGGGTATGTGTGTGTCTATCTGTTATATATAATGTCAGAATAAATTTATAGTTTAATAAACGGCATATTCCTACACGAAAGTTAATACAATATAGGCATTAGGAACTATTTTATATATAGTGCATTCAGAAAGTATTCAGACCCCCTTTTGTCAATTGTTATGTTACAGCCTGTTCTACAGTTGTTGAAATTCATTTTTTTCTCGTTAATCTAGACTCAGTACCCCATAAGGACAAAGTGAAAACAGAATTTTAGAAATCTTTGTAAATTTATTAAAAAAAAAACCTGAAATATCACAGTGGCATAAGTATCCAGACGCTTTGCAACAACAGATGAAAGGTGAACAGGTTGAACAACAAGGTGAAAGGTGAACAACAGATGAAAGGTGAACAGATGAACAGGTGCCTGTTGCTGACCAGTTTCTACACCTTGATTAGAGTTAACTTGTGATAAATTAAATTGATTATTTCAAAAAGGACACATCTTTCTATAAAAGGCCTCACAGCTGACAGTCGTGAGGTCCAAGGAACTGCCTACAGAGCAAAAGCAATGAGGTCCAAGGATTGAGGGAAAGCTGCCTGCAGAGCTCAGAGACAGGGTTATTGCAAGGCACAGATCTAGCTACACTAAAATTTCTGCTGCACTGAATGTTCCTAAGAGCACAGTGGCCTCCGTAATTCTCAAATAAAGAATGACACAACCAGGATTCTTCCAAGAGCCGGTCGCCCAGTCAAAGTGAGCAATTATGGGAGAAGGGCCTTAGTTAATAAGAGAGGTGACCAAGACCCTGATGGTCACTCTGACTGAGCTCCAGAGATCCTATGGGGAGATGGGACAGAATTCCAGAAGAGCAACCATCACGGCAGCTCTCCGCTGATCTGAGCTTTATAGCAGATAGGCTAGACTAAACGGAAACCTTTCCTCAGTGCAAAACACACGAAAGCCTGCTTGGAGTTTGCAAAAAAGCCTCTCAGACAGAGAGGAGCAATATTCTCTGGTCTGATGAAACCAAGATTGAACAGTTTGGCCTCAATTCCAAACATTATGTCTGGAGGAAACCAGGCACCACTCATAACCTGCCCAATATCATCCCAACAGTGAAGCATGGCAAGGGTGCTGAATGTAGATTAATGAGAAAAAATGAATTTCAACAACTGTAGAATCCGGCTGCAGCACAACAAAATTGACAAAGTGAAGGAGGGTCTGAATACTTTTTGAATGCACCATATATAAAAGTTTCTGTGTGTGTGTGTGTATGTGTGTATGTATGTGTGTGTGTGTGTGTGTGTGTGTGTGTGTGTGTATATATA